CAGTCAAAAACTGCCACCAGGGAAGATGTGGGTTCAAATTATTGCTCCCCTCATCCCTCAGCCTCCCTGAGCCCCATCCATCTCCTTGCCAGTCAAGTAGGAGCTAGAACAGGGCCCGGCGAGTGCAGTAAATGCTCATAAGGACACACGTTCCTTCATTTGACAGATGAGGAACCAGAGAGGGAAACGGATGTGCTGTGGGCCACACAGCCAAGAACAAGGCCTCCTTCCACCCTAGGCCAGTCGAGAGCTCTGACACCTGCAAAGGAGAGTTGCAGCCTGCAGTGACCCTGGGAGCTTGGAGCAGCCTTTGAAGCTGGAGTGACCACTGGGCGGGAATCTGAGAGAGAGGAGCCCTGCCATGTCAGGGCCAACCCTCTGCTCTGTTCCACCCCCGAAACGGTCCTGACCCTCAGGCCCGCAGTCGCTGCCTTTCTTCAGCCCCAGAGCCACCCCAGAGGCAGGCAGGCAGGCAGGCACAGGTCCTGGAGCCTCCACCGGGGTGATGGGAAACCTGGATTGGCCTCAAGCACTAGCTTTGGAGCTGTGAGTGGTCTAGAGAGAAAGCCACAACAACACTCCCTAAGAACAACAGCCAGCTGCCTCTCTAGAGCCCCAAGCCCCAGTCTCCCCACATGCAAACATATGGGCAGCATCTGAAAATCTCTAAAATCCCATGGGCACTGACCCTGGAGAGGCAGGAGAAGCTGCCTGGGCAGAAAGGGGTGGACAACGGGGAGTGCAGACTCCTATGGGAAAATCACATGAGGAAAACAGAACAGAAGATGTTTTCATTAAAGCAAAATAGCTTGTTAGGGTCAAAAGACACTATTTGTAAACTATGGAAACATAGGTTGGTAGAAAACCCACCAAATATGAAATCACTTTGGAACTTTTCCTATAAGGAGAAACCAGGCCAGCAGCACAGCAGGGGAAATGTGTGTGGCTGAGACAAAGCCCTCACTAGCCATCAGCCACTCACTGGGCCTCTCCAAGGCCAGGTGAGGCCCAGAGCAGGTTGGCCACAGGGGGGGTTTTCGGCCTGGCTCTGGCATCTGCTTTCCTGCCCACCCTTGAGGGCCAGACGTTCGTGACCTCCTAGCTGCAGAATGCACTCACAGGGTATGACTTCTGGGATTTGAGAATGACACAGCTCAGCAAGCAGCCTCAGTAGGAGGAGGGGGCCTGCATCTCTTCTCAAGGGTCTATTAACTAACTCCCATAATCCTGTGAATTAGGCAGAGTGTCATGTTGTCATCTGCCTCCATGAGGTGTTACAGAGATTAACTGGAATTAAAGAGTTCAACATATGAAAAAATGCTCATCATCACTGGTCATCAGAGAAATGCAAATCAAAACTACATTGAGATACCATCTCACGCCAGTTAGAATGGCAATCATTAAAAAATCTGGAGACAACAGATGCTGGAGAGGATGTGGAGAAATAGGAACACTTTTGCACTGTTGGTGGGAGTGTAAATTAGTTCAACCATTGTGGAAGACAGTGTGGCGATTCCTCAAGGACCTAGAAATAGAAATTCCATTTGACCCAGCAATCCCATTACTGGGTATATATCCAAAGGATTACAAATCGTTCTACTATAAGGACACGTGCACACGAATGTTCATTGCAGCACTGTTTACAATAGCAAAGACCTGGAACCAACCCAAATGCCCATCGATGATAGACTGGACAGGGAAAATGTGGCACATATACACCATGTAGTATTATGCAGCCATCAAAAACGATGAGTTTGGGTCCTTTGTAGGGACATGGATGAACCTGGAAACCATCATTCTCAGCAAACTGACAGAAGAGCAGAAGATCAAACACCACATGTTCTCACTCATAGGCAGGTGTTGAACAATGAGAACACATGGACACAGGGAGGGGAGCACTATACACTGGGGTCAGTTGGGGGGAAATAGGGGAGGGAGGGTGGGGGGTGGGGAGCTGGGGAGAGATAACAAGGGGAGAAATGCCAGATGTAGGTGATGGGGAGGAAGGCAGCAAATCACACTGCCACGTGTGTACCTATGCAACAATTTTGCATGTTCTTCACATGTACCCCAAAACCTAAAATGCAATAAAATAAATAAATGGGGGAAAAAAAAGAGTTCAGCACAGGGCATGGCACACATCAAATGCAAAATAAATGCTGGCTGTTATGATTATTGAAACAACTACAGCCTGAGCCCTCTTCTCAGGCTGATGCTTAAACTCAGTTGTGGGTCAAAAGAGTTAGCAGGTTTCATCCAGGTGTGCTCCACTGCTCACAACACACCCTCAGACAAATGGATTCACCTTTCTGGGCCTCCTCTGTCCCAGGGGCACAAATTCCTGCCCACCTGCTTGGGGTCCTTGGGGCTCAAAGAAGCCTGACCTTATTCTTCTGAACTGCCCGACAGGTGCTGAGGGCGAGTGGTGAGAATTGGAAGAACAGAGCTTCAGCGGAGACCAGCCCAGGAGAGGGAAGAGGAGGTGGATGAAGGAAAAGACGCCACCAGCCGAGCCCTACTCACGTGCCTTTCCTCCCTTTCCCATCAATAGTTCTGAATGCTAGCTGAGTGCCAGGCACCAGAAGTGCAGAGTAAGTCAAGCAGGCTATGCCCTCTTGGAGCTCAAAATCTGCTTTCCTAAATCTGGGGAGGAATCTGGCAAAGGGTTTTCACTCATCCCTTGGGTTTCTCCAGCTTGAAGATAAGTCTAACACCTCTGTCTTGACCATCTGTCACCTGGTACAGGCCAGAGCCACAGATATCCCAAAAGGGTTTGGCACTGACCAGTTTGTTAGCTAGAGAGGCAGCTAAGGCCTCTGAGCAGAAGGCTTTGAGAAGTTACAGCTGAGCCACACATCCCTACCCACTTCATATAAAGCTTCCCTCCCAAATGGTGATGCCCAGCTGAGCCAGCCATCTTACCCAAAAACCTGACTCCCAGTGGTTCCCAGGGATTATCCAGCAGTTGCCCACACCACTTAACACCCCTGGAGGGACTATCCTCTCTTTGCCTAACTGAAGAAGGTCTTTGTGGGTCTGGCACCTTATTGGGGCCAGTGATGGAAACCAAGGAACCTAGACCTTGTCCAGTAGATCTTAAAAATTTTTTAAATCCAAAGACATACAGGAATAAGTCTGTCCTTTTCATGTCTGAGATATAGCAGAGAGACTGGACTACAGAAAAGAAATACTGAGAAAAGTTTACACAGTTCAGCTTTTATTAAAATTAAAGGATGGGAAATTAGAACATGATTCCTGTTAAAATAATACATTTGAGGAAATGTTTATTCAGCTATCGCTGTAACTGATCAAGCATGTGACAAGGATTCTTTTACAAGATATACAGTCCCTAACAGCCATGCAGAGAACACCAGATCGAGAATCTTACCTATGCAATATGTTGTACGGGGTGTCAGTGATCAAGTCTGACTGCCTATGACAACCACAGGGACAGAACACCCACACAGACATAAACATTCAATGTCTTCAGTTTTCTTTCAAAGAAAGTATTCTACATGTAATATGCAAATCAAAGAAGAAGTCCAACAAGGGTCCTCTATTGCCACTGAAAACGGGGGGATGGGGGGAGTGAATAATTTACAATCTCATAACCAAACATGGCAATAGGGCAATTTGATGCTGCAAATGCCACAGTCCTGTGCATTCCTGCCATGGCTGATGCTACATCCATGAGTCACTGAGCCCCGTGACGAAGGCTGCACAGGGGCTATGAGACTGTGATTATCTACTACAGAAGAAATCTCTTCCATTCCCAAATGCTGGAAGTGCTGCTGGCTCTCCTGCTTGGTCAGGAGAAACACAGCACGGCTGAACATGAGGGGCTTAGGACTCTAAATAGTGCAAACACTTAAAAATACATTCTAACCTCCTTGCTTCTCCAGGCAAACAGAGCCTTAAAAACTCCAACTAAGTGGAATATGAGTTTGCTCAACCGCCCAGCTTCATCCAGCTAGGTGCAAATGGGGAGCGTGGAGGCAATTTAAATGGCACCTGTCCCAACAATAATGATAAATTTTAAAAACCATAATGCTAATGGCAGATAAATACACAAAACAGAACCTGGAGCACAGACACAGATCAAGAAGCAAGTTGTAAGTGTAGTGTGAGCATCTGCAAAGCACATGCCTGACACATTCTTAGTGGGGATCATGAGGACTGACCCCCACTTTTAAAGTTTACAGACAAGATGCTCCCAAAAAGGGCATCATCCAGCAGCAAAGGCCTCAAGCTAATGGAAGCTTCAGATGAACAAGGAGACAGAAGAGAATAAGGAATGGTCAGCTGGACGTAGGATGCTATGGGAGTATGTGCTGGGGGGCAGGCCTTTCCCTGGGGCTTCTCCATGCCACAGGGTGCCAGGCTCAGTGCCACTCTGTGGGAGCCACCATGAGACAGCCCAGCCTCACCCCCACAGAAAACAGACTAAAAAAAAAAAAAAAAAAAAAAAAAAAAAAAAAAAAAAAAAAAAAAAAAAAAAAAAAAAAAAAAAAAAGAAAAAAGAAAATCAATACAGATGGGCAAGTGCTGAGTCGAACTTAACATCAGTCCCTAGCAATTCAAGAAACACCAGCAACTGTGTTTTAAAATTCAGCAGACTCCCTTGAATATGGTATCTTTTAAAAATGGCTCATCTACCTGGAGCTACTGAAAAATACGTTTCTGGAGGGTGAGAAAAAGGAGGAGAGCTACAGGCATGAACTATGAGAGTGAATGGTGCAAAGAATATAACATTTCATTATCATGGACAATAAAAAGCAATTCAAATATCTTGAAAAAAAATCTTATAAAAATATCTACATTAAAATTTTAGCCTAAAAGCTATAGCTTCAATTTTATAAAAAGGCCATCTTTGAAAGGATCTGGCTCAGAAATATACAAACATTACACAACAGATATCAAAGTAAGACAGCTCAAAAAGCATCTTAGGGGATATTGCAACTGGCTTGTTGGGAAATAGAATTAAGTATTCTTATTGCATAGCAGAAAATGAGGTCACTTTCATTTGCATAATACTGCAACTTTGTAGATGGAGAGATGTCATTGGGTACTTAGGAGAAATCACTTTGGAATTCAGAATCTGACTTCTACATTGTTTAAATCAGTATCCAGGTGGCATCTCGGCTGCTTCTAACCTTGGGCCTCAATTCCATTTCACCACCGCAATCAGATGACAGATACTCCACTGGCAAAGCTGCATTCACAAGCAGCCATGGCCACCCTAAGGGGGGCAGGAAAAGGCTTCGTCTACCATGTGACCAACACAAACTACAAAATAGCCTGCTGTGTCCACTGAGGAAAGAGAATCGTACCTGGTGATGAAGAGATAGCAGGTTTTGGGTGGCATCTGTGGGCAGCTAGAGCAGATTGGCTTTGGTGATGACGTACCAGTGTTCTGGTCCCCGTGAGAAAGGACACACGAGGGTGAAATGCACACAGCCTTAGCAGCGCACTGAGCAGAGGCAGTGCTTTGTAGGAAGGAAGGCGTGAGGTGAAACCAATTGCAAAAATCCAAAAGCAGAAAACATGACTGGCTAGCTTTCAGTGGAGGGAGCCTTCCTCGGGAAGATGACACATAAAAAATAACCTCACCAGCATGAAAATCTAGCTTCTCAGTGGTGGGGAAGGGCAGGGAATTCACCTATCACCTGAAATTGAGAGCTTCTGTGACTGGCATTCATCAGATCCCAACCCCAACCTCATCCCCATCACACAGACACACCCAAACGAGTCTCAAAATTTCTTCAGAGCAGGAGAAAGGACATTTAGAACAAAAAGCTTAACCCATCAGCTTCCAACCCACAGCCAGGTCGAGTTCAGAAGCCACAGTCATTCCCACTCAACTAAAGCATGCCTTGTTTCCTTTGGAGACATTTCTTCCAGGTCCACCAAAGCTGGATACTGTAGCCTCTTCCGAAGGCTTCTAAAAATTCTGGGCAACTTGTTGTTCTCCAAGCATCTTGTTGAAGTAACATGTGCTTAACATCAGAAAGAGAAGTTTTGTCTTTAGGAGAGTTGCACATTTAGGGCATAATAAATATATAGTAAATGCACAAAGTGGCCCACTGGCTGGGAAGACTCCTGGGTTTCTCACTGCAGGGGATAGGGGATGCCAATCTCCCGCAGTGCCTGCTTGGAAGTAGCCCAGTCGTATCGGAAGTCCAATATCAACATTTATGCAGTTCCTTGGCTTCCTGTAGGTGGATTCTGACATTAAGGAGGGTGTCCCAGACTGCAAGGTATGAGACTAATCTCCAGACACAAGACTTCCCCTGCTTATGCCACAAATTCCAGCATAAGCAATTTGCTAATTTAGGAACAGCACAACTTTTAAGGTTTTTTTAAATACAAATTACTCCATACACCTTCAAATGCCCACCCCTCAAGATGCCTGAAGTTCTATCATTAATAATTTTTACCTGTGAATTAGCAAAGCTCTCATCAAGCTCCTTTTTTAAAATGCAAGCACCCCTTAGGAGGCCTCAAATCCAGGGCCCACTGATTATTTCCTACCCCATGGGGAAAGTAGGAGTGGAGGTCCTTAGGGGTTGGGGAGAGGGTGCACACCCTGGAATACGGGGAAAGCACAGGAAAAAGAAGACAAGGACATAAGACAGACTTGACCACTGTCACAAAGCGCCAAGGGCCAGCTCTAGTGGTATATTCCTTTGAAGTCAAACAACGTCCATCTGAATCACATACAACCCTATCTAACACAGGGACAAATCTATCTTTGGGTTTGGAGGAGGGTGACCTCTTATTTATCCTCCAAACCAGACACTTCTGAGAGTAAAATGGGGTGCTGTGAATAATTAAGCTTGGATAATAAGTATAAATGGGGACTGTCCTGTCCTGGGAAAACCTAAAAGTAGGACCCTTCTCTGAGACCGTTATAGGCAGGAGCTGAATCCTTACCACTTTGGTTTTTTGTTTGTTTTTTTCCTGTTTATTTTTTTTCCAGTGTGTTACCAGAGGCTTCTCTGAAGAGCTAGTTTTCCCAGCTGAAGAGACATCACATCTCCCAGGCCTGGAATCTATGGCATCAAAGACCAACAGCCTAGACATGAAGACTGGGCAGTTCTCATCTGCTTCCTAGAGGAGAACTCAAGGAAAAACAGCTGGCTGAGAATCACAGGGAACCCCACTTGTCCCTTATTCTAGCACACAGAGGAAGGACACGGTGCAGCTTTGAGAATTCTCCAGCTCTTCTGCAGACAAAGTCGCAGTGGTCAAGTAGATAAGTGGGCGTGGCCAGAGAACTGCCCCTCTCACTGGTTATTTCTGGACATTCCCAGAGTGTCCAACTGGACCTTCAGAAGAAAGCAGCTTTAGTAGTCTCAGGGTCCCCATGGGGCAAATCCAAAAGAGATGTCGCTGAGATTTGATTCTTAACGTAGTGAAAGGATCAGTAGTAAAGAAATCCAGTAGACTGTCACACACGCTCACCGCCCAACTTAGAGAAACACCGTGTTCTGCACATACACACACACACACACACACACACACACGTTCCAGGTTCTGTGTTGTCCCTGTAGAAATACCAAAACAAAGCCCAAAGGTGCTGCCTGGGGCTGTCAGGAACCCCCTGCTCAGGGCATAGGCCAAAGCACCTCAGGGAAGCAGGGGGTGAGTAACGGTGTCCACACGGTGACGAACGACACCAGTCTGCCAAGTCAGAGGAGAGCAGTTCTCACAGCAGCACAGACCCTGCCCAGTGAGTTGAATCCAGTCAGTCACCACGGTCCTACTGTTCAGAGTCACAAGCAGCACCTGCTCCTTCCTCCACCTCCTGGCAGTGGGAATTTGGGTCACAAGGACTTGTGAATCACGGCAACACCTAATAAGAAACAGGGAGAAAGTTACCATCTTAGCTTCTCCAAAGCTACTCAGACTCCCAGTGAGTTCATGAATCTAAGAAGTCACAACGCAAGGGAAATGGGTACATTTTTATCCTAATATTGAAGTGTCTGTGGTCTCAGGTTGCTAGCAGCTGGCTGTTCCCCACTCCAACAGCCAAGTCCTGGCAAGACACTTGAACCTATGAGCATAGTCCCTCAAATACCACTGGCTAGAGGCCTCATCCTGTGTCACCACATGGACTCACTGTGGTGACTCCTGTCCCCAGCTCTAGCAGCTACCTCAACAATGTTTAGTGCCCAGGGGCAGCTACGCAGTTCTAAATTTGAATCACTTTAAGAGAAGCAATGGGTGATTCATCTCTACTTTTAGAAGACATCTCTACTTTTATGAAGTGGAAAGTACAGTAGGCTGCCTTCATGGGAGCAAGAAAGACTGAATTCCAGTCCTAGCTCTGCCACCAGTCAACCTGCACTGTGGCCTTTAGCAAGTTCTTTGACCTCTTTATGCTCAGTGCCCACACAAATGTCATCTAACAGACCCTGCCAGTGTGACAATCTCGACTTTGATAAATGCTCCAGACATGTATGCTGTGTTACTGTTTTAGTCCGGGTGAACCATGCTCAGCACCTAACCATAAATCCACGCATGACCCAAAATCTCACTGTAAGGGACTGAGGCTACATGGCAGATGCCACATACTGATTCCATCAGTGTCCTTCCTACTTGCTATCCTCTACTACAGCCACCAGCTCCAGCTGCAAGCTCAGCTGCCCAGACTGCCTGGCAGCTAGGCGTGCCATGTGACCCAGCGCTGCCCAATAAGACTATAAAGGCAAGTGTGCCAGTGTTGCAATGCTGGCTTTGTTCTTGTTGTGCCCAGAATGCTCAAGCAAGGCCAAGGGGAGGCAACAGCCTTTGATAAAGCTGGCAAAACAGAAGAGAGGAGAAACTTGGTTCTTCAACGTCAGTCTGAGCCCCCAGGCCAACATTTTTACCAGAGACAAATCAACTCACTTTTTGTATTTAGGAAAGTATCTGTCAGGGTTTCTGGTGCCTGTTGCTAAATGAAATCCTAACTTACAGGTACCTACAGGCAGGATGGTTCCTGGAGCCTTATTTTTAACATAGTCCCACAACTATAAAATGTTCTGGTTGAAGATGACATTGACAGAACATGGCTAAAAGCAAGCCAGGATACCCCATTGGAGATGTTCTGCTAAGACATCTATATTCTGTTCATTCCTGGCTAAAGGCGCAGACATAGAGGCTTCGAGGGAGGCAGAGCCTAAGTCCAGACCAAATGCCTGATCTTGACAGCATCATACTTGAATCTCAGACATCTCTTTCAGAAGGTAGCTTTTTTTTTTTTTTTGAAAGCAGGCTCCCGTGTTGCTTTTTCATATACCCTTTATCTTGATTATAAAAGTAATATATTCTCATTATGGGAAATCTGGAAAATGCAGAAGAACACAAAGAGAAAAGCTTTAATCCCTTCACACAAAGAAAACCACCACTGTGTTTTTGGAATACTTTCTAGCATCCAATAATAATCACAATCATTTGCTGCATGGTGTCGAGTGCCAGGCAGGTATCGTGCTTAGCTCTTCACATGTATTACTGCATTTCATTCTCACAGCAGCTCTAAAAGGCTTAGTCTAATTTTATTCCCATTTTACAAATAAGACAACAGGGGTTCAGTATGATAGAATACATGGCCCAGAGACTCAGGGCTAGTGGCAGAGCTGGGATTCAGATTCATATCCATTTGTAGAAGCAGCAGCTACTCAACCTCCACTCCAATACCCCACCAATGCAGGACTACATACATGAATGAGCTCACACAGGCTATTACAAATGTTTTCTCATAACGTTAAAAATCCATACACTATACAACTATCCCATAGATTATTAGCTATCTCCCTCATGCCAGACATTAATTCTCAGATTTTAGCTATTATGAGTAAGGCCCCAATAAATAACTTTGTCCATAAATCTTTGCATTTTGGAGCATTTCCTTAGATTTTAAGATAATAGACCCACTCAGTAAGTGGGTTTGAACGCAAAATTGCAGGTTTGCTTGTCTTCTGCCTACCTACTTCTGAAGCGGGCAGACAATGAAGAAAGGGACATGAAATATTCAGCATATATATGAAATTCTAACCACCTACACCTAACTCTTCCCCTCTCATTAAGGCACACATGGAGTCAAGGGAGGATCCCTCACTTACCTCCCTCATCCCATAACAAAATTACTCCAGGACTAAACTTCTTCTAAAATGTTTTATACTAAGCCAAGGAAAGCATTATGAGGTGAAAAAAAAGGTCTAAAGGAAGTAAAAAGTTAAAGTCCATTGTCACAGATGTCTTACATTGAAAGAATGTGCTGCAGGCTGGGCATGGTGGCTCACACCTGTAATCCCAGCACTTTGGGAGGCCAAGGTAGGAGGATCACAAGATCAGGAGATCAAGACCATCCTGGCCAACATGGCAAAACCTCATCTCTACTAAAAATACAAAAATCATCCAGGTATGGTGATGGGCACCTGTAGTCCCAGCTACTCAGGAGGCTGAGACAGGAGAATCACTTGAACCCAGGAGGTGGAGGCTGCAGTGAGCTGAGACAGCACCACTGCACTTCAGCCTGGGTGACAGAGTAAGACTGTCTAAAAAAAAAGAAGAATGTGCTACAAACTCCTTCGAATCTGCACAACATGCTCTTTCTTTGCAGTCAAACAAGATGGAATGACCGACCTTTATAATGCAAAATGGGAAGAAGAATATTCCTGGAGTCGTGGTATGGATTAAACAAGATAATGACTATAAAATACTTTGGATAATGTCTGGTATGTTCCGTGTGCTGGATAAATAATGTTATCTCTACTCCAGGTTTTAGAAAACCAGATACAAGGAACTGAACTACACCACAGATATATATTTGCTCATCTCCCCATGGACCCAACCTTAGCAGTACCAACTCTGATGCCACCCCGGCCCCTGCACCTCACCAAACCCCTCACACACACTCCCCAAGAAGAAGCTTCCACACCAGCCTGGTGCCTTACTCTAAGGCTTACCCTGAGCCAGGGTAGCATAAAAGGCATGGACTTAGAACTCTGGGTTTGAACTCTGACTTTGCCATTTATTAGCTATGTGGCCTTTGGCAAGTTACTTAAACTCTCTGAACCTCAGTTTCATCATCCATAAAATGGACGGATACAGTCCCATTCAGCCTGAGAGTTGTTGAAAAGATGAGAAAGAACGCACACTCTGTTCCTAACACACTGCCCCTGGCATGGGCCAGGCACCCAGTAAAGGACAGCTATTTGTGTGATTGTGATCCACCCTCAAAGTTTAATTGAGCCCGTCCCCTCCAGGAAGGGTTCCCTGGCTTTGCCAGTTCTCACCAGTCTTTTGTGTGCCAAAGCCTGTCTAGCGCGTGTCATTTGGAACGTGTATATACATCATCTTGTCTTCCCCCTGCTTTGTGTGGGCAGGTCTTACCCGTCAAATTCAACTCTGGACAGAGAGCATTGCATCTTATGCCATCTAGGAGCCTGGCACAAAGTAAACCAGGAATGCCAGTGAAATTCTAACTCTCTTGTGACAACTCAGTTGGAACTCTGTTATACATTCTGAGGCTACCTTCAGGTTCACAGGATCAGGGTAGGAGGTAATCGGTGCCAATTATCTGTATCTGTCATGAGCACAGAATGAAGGAGTGGTGGCCACAGAACCATTACCTGTCATGTCTGGAGGAGGCACTCAGATCCAAGTTAAGCAAGCTCACATCCTCTCATCCCACCAGCCCACCCAACCCTCATGCCCCCAGTGTGTTGGAGGTCTCGGGATGGGCAGAGAGATGGCACACACTGACCTGCATAGCTCCGCCCTGTGCTCATGTTGGTTGGAAGCAGCGTCCATTTGTCAGTTACAGGATTGTAGTACTCCACCGAAGCCAAGTTGCAGGATCCATCATCCCCTCCAACCACATACAGGAGCCCATTCACTGCACAGACCCCTGGGAGTCAAACAAAAGCCATAGGAGACATCAGAGCAAGTGCACCAAGAGATCAGAATTGAAAAAGAGACAAATCTGGATAGGCTGGGAGGCTCTTTTCCTCCCTTTACAACAGAGATTTAACTCTGATCTGAGTTAACGCAGGTCTGAGTTTGCTTAGTGGAAGAAAATATGACAACAGCCACTGGGCTCCAAGGATCCTTCTTCCTAACAAGATCATTTATCTGGCCAGGGAGTTTTTGTTACTTACAATGCGTATGCTCCCTGCCACACTCACACCTACACAGTAAGTATGTAGGGCCTATGGGCACAGACCCCTCTCTACTGGAAAGGTGTATACAGACCTCCTGTGCCCAGCCTGAGCTAGGGAATAAGACAATTCAGGGGACTTCATGCATGCTACTACTTCTCTGCCGCTACATTTTTCCCTGATAAGCCCCATGTTATATCCATGCTGTGTGATGCTGACGGTTATGTTTATAATCCCTTTACAAGACTTGGGTCTAATTCACATACAGCTCCCAGGAATGAGGCACAGCTCCCACCCTGATCTCAGAGGGAGATGGATTTTGGGCAAGGTCTCATGCAGCAAGGTCTAAGGCATAAGAAAACATAATTAGTTATTGTTCATTAAGACTTTGAAGGGCCATAGTCCAGTACGTTGTGTATTTTTTCAAAATTTGATTAAGGGATTGGTGATACTCCAAAAAGCCGTACTTATCAATGTTGCTGAAGGTACTCTCAGAGGATAAAATGGACCACCTTCCTGGATGGCATCTAAAATACATGTGCTCCCTCTGATTTAAAAATTCCACTTCTGGCCAGGCACAGTGCCTCATACCTATAATCCCAGCACTTTGGGAGGCCAAGGCAGATGGATCACTTGAGCCCAGGAGTTCAAGGTCAACCTGGGCAACCTGGTGAAACCCTGTCTCTACAAAAAAATACAAAAATTGCCAGGCATGATGGTGTATACCTATGGTCCCAACTACTCAGGAGGCTGAGGTGGGAGGATCTGTTGAACCCAGGAAGTGGAGTTGCAGTGAGTCAAGATTATGCCACTGCAATCTAGCCTGAGTGACAGAGTAAGACTTTGTCTGAAAAAAAAAAAATTTACTTCTGGTCTTTTAAAGAAATGATTTTAAATGTGTGCACTCATTTAGCTACAAGGACCATTTATAATAACTAAAGTATTACTTAGAGTACAGAAAAGATGGAAATAACCTGTGTCCAATAGTAGATTGGTTGTTTAAATTATGATACAGTCATTTAAAATATCACATAAATAAGTTTAGTGTTGTAATGAAATGTTCATGAAAGTTATAAAGTGAGTTTTTTAAAAAACAGGTTATAAAATAGTGTTATAGTGTAATTCCATTTTTGTTATTAAAAAATAGAAATATCTATGAATTTTTTACAAACACACATTTACATCTAAACTTAATTCTCAGGTTCTAGATAGCTGCTTATAAGGGTCCTGTAATTTCTTGCTCTTGTGGCTTAAAGCCAAATGACAACTTCTATCATGGCAGGCTTAGGCAATGAGCAAATTAATAAATTATTCCTCCAACCCCCAGTTACACTTCCAAGTTGGCCACGAATGGGTGTGGCAAACAGGTAATACGAGAATAATGGAAATGAATCTGCCTATGTCGCCTGTGCGTCTTTCCAGCCTGGGAAGCTGGGCTAAGCCAACACTTTCCTAGAGCAAAGAGGCATGAAGGTCCACTGGCGCAGTACACGACCCACAAGGCAACACTCCAAAAGCTTAAAAGGGACCTCATGCTCCAGGAATCATACCTAGATACTCTACAGTAAATCATTCCTACAGGAAGGAACAGGGGAGGAGATGGAAAGGAGAGACAGGAATATGAAGAAAGCAATAGGGAAAGGAGAAGTGATCAAGGGTATGACTATCCCTGCAAGGAGGGAGCCTGGTCCTAGCCAGGCACTGCCAGAGAAAAGAACCAAGTGCCATCTTCTGGCCCTGAGCTTAGCTACCTACCAAAGCTGTTGGGGGTGGGGGGTGGGGACACTGATGACAACCAGAGGACTTTTCTAAGTCTGTGCTCATCTGTGTGCAGTAAAAGTCATCACCTTTCCCTGGTGAGAAAGGGGCTCCCCTGCATCTAGGTTGCAGGATCTGCAGCTAGCTTTTTGAGGGGGTCTCAACTTCTCCCCTCCTCTAACCAAGAGCCCACCCGGCAAATGGACACTCCTTGTTCAGGATACAAGCTCAGCTCCAGACCCTGGGAATCTCCCCACTGTTTAGAGCCAGTGTCTTCAGGAAGAAACGGCACATGACCCCCAAAGGGGAGATGGAGAGAGCAGTCATTACCTGCATTGCGCCGGCACATGTTCATGTCTGCCACTTGCTTCCAGGTATTTGTTCCAGGATCGTAAACTTCAACGCTCTTCCTCACCAAAGGCCCGTCGTGCCCACCTGTGGCATACAGCTGTCCGCTGAGCACTCCAACACCTGAAAGGCAAACACAGTGTCCCAGCCTCAGGCTGACTACAGTAATCAGAAATCAGAAGGCCTGGCCTCCAGTCCTGGACAGTCCTGACCCGTGAGGTGACTTGGGGAGTGCCATTTTGTCTCCCTGAACCTCAGTGTCCTCATCTGTAAAACAAATATAATGACACCCTGCCTGCCTCCTATAAGACTGGCAAGCTCAAAACTTTGAAATATAAAGCAAATGTGACCCAAATTCTATTTTTTAAAAACATATACAGGTATTGATCAACTTACGACCTATGCAACTTACGACCATTCGACTTTACGACCACAATCGCTAGCCACGACTGCTCCACTGTAGATTTTTGGAAACACTACAACATTTTGATGTGTATCAAGAATATCGCTACCACCTGGGAGGCTGTGACGACAAAGTGCATGAATGGCATCTGGAAAAATTGTGTTAAGCGCTATGTTAATGATTTTGACGGATTTGGCAGTGAACATCAACTTGAAACGATTCGGGAAAAATTGGTAAAACTCGCTAAAGACCTTTCTTTGGAGTGTGAAATGGAAGATGTCAAAGAGTTGCTAGACAAAGAATCCGGAGAACTTACAAATGAAGAGCTAATCGAACTGGAAGAAGAAAGAGTGGCGGAAGAAGAAAGAAGAGAAGTAGAGAAAGAAGAGGAGGAGCCAGAAAGAAAGTTCACCACTAAGGGATTATCACAGGGTTTATCTTTACTGAATAAACTTCTTATACATTTAGAAGCAATGGACCCAAACATCGAACGATTTGCAAGGATTGAACGGATGGCGCACGATGTGTTTCGTCCGTATCATGAAATTTATGAAGAAAAAAAGAAACATACAATTCAGACAAAGCTCAGCATGTTTATGAAAAAACCAACTCCAGTAACCCCAACTGCTGCCTCAGATGACGACATCAACGATCCGCAGCCAAGCACTAGCGGCCAATAAAATGTTTCATACATGTTTATATATTTTGATATGTCTTGCAATTGGGAAAATGTCTCCTATGGTATTTTTTACACCTGTATTTTGTATTTTTGTATGTACCTGTATTTTGTAATTTTGTATGTTTTGCAAATATTAAACCAGTTGTACTGGTAATGCAGTGTTTTACTTAAACCTGACGAATGTAAAAATAAGAAACAAAATGGTGTAGAGATGATACAAATGGCATAAAATGAACAAAGAAAATTATGATATATAACCATAATGAAAGAAAATTATGATAAAATATGACTTAAAGATTTTTATAACATCATTTCACAGTACTGTACATATAGCCTACTCAACTTACGACCAAATCATGTTACAACCGGTCTGTCGGAACCAATCGTGGTTGTAAGTCGAGCACTAGCTGTATATATATATATATATGAATATATACGTACATATATACGGAAGAGGATGTTCCTAAGCGAAGAAAAAAGACAAAAAAGATTGAATGAAATCCATAAAAATATTAAGAATAATTATTTCTGAGTGGTAACATACATTTTCCTTTTTTGCCTATCTACATTGCCTAGTTTTCCTACAATGTTGTATTACTTATATTACTCAGCCTTATATTAGTTGAGTAAAAAGAGTAAAAAATTGAAACTAGCCACACAGCAAAGTGCTGAAATTATGATTAGGGAGGTCTCCTGCTGGTTGTGTCCGCAGAAGCTGCTCTTTCTGCCCACTTCTCTCCTCCTAGGCTGCAGAGGGCATCGTTAGATCACTCACCGTGTTGATCATCCTGAGCTGAATGCTAGAATTGCTTTGTTTACAGATTTCAGTGTCATCTTTGAAGATTCTTTCATCAAGAAGATGAAAGCCATAAAGAAGGAAGACAGCACAGTATCTAGAAAGTGTAACTTGGGCTGGGCATGGTGGCTCACACCTGTAATCCCAGTACGTTGGGAGGCCAAGGCGGGCGGATCAAAAGGCCAGGAGATCGAGACCATCCTGGCCAACATGGTGAAACCTCAACCCTACTAAAAATACAAAAATTAGCTGGGCATGGTGGCATGTACCTGTAGTCCCAGCTATTCAGGAGGCTGAGGCAGAAGAATCGCTTGAACCCAGGAGGCAGAGGTTGCGTTGGACTGAGATCACGCCACTGCGCTCCAGCCTGATGGTAGAGCAAGACTCTGTCTCAAAAAGAAATAAGAAAGAAGGAAGAAAGAAAGAAACAAAGAAAAAAGAAACAAAGAAAGAAGAAAGAAGGAAAGAGAAAGAAGAAGGAAAGAAAAAGAAAGAAAAAAGAAACAGAAAGAAACAGAAAGAGAAAGAAAGAAAGAAAGAGAAAGAAAGAAAGAAAGAGAAAGAAAGAAAGAAAGAAAGAAAGAAAGAAAGAAAGAAAGAAAGAAAGAGAAAGAAAGAAAGAAGAAAGAAAGAAAGAAAGAAAGAAAGAAAGAAAGAAAGAAAGAAAGAAAGAAAGAGAGAGAAAGAAGAAAAGAAGGAAGGAAGGAAGAAAGAGAAAAGAAAGAAAAGAAAGTGCAACTGACCTGGTAGCTAGGACACCTGTGTTCTGGACATGTCTCTCTGACTTGCTCACTGGGTGACCTTTAACCTTTCTGGGCCTCAGTTTCCCTATTTGTAAAGGGGAAGAGTTGTACTAGATCAGTGGTTCCCATGGACCACAGATGACTCCACTGCATGGACAGGCTGCATCTCAATTGACTGGGGAGCTTTTTGAGATAGATTCCACACTGGTCAGGAGTCAAAAAAGTTCCTCAGGTGACTGGGATGTGCAGCCAGGTTTCAGACCCAAGAGCCAGATTTGTAGACCATAACTTCCTATGGGTGAGGACTTTTTTTGTCTTGTCCTCATCTGCTTCCCTGTGCCCCACGGCAGTAGGTTCTCAAGAGATACTGCTTGAATGACAAAAATACAAATTAATAAAATCCCTCCCACCAATTATGCCAGTATGCTAGTGTGGCTCCTAGCAGTTGCTCTAAACTAACAGCAGATGGTGCTGTCGTATCAATAATGGCTCTCTCTAACCAACAGGTTTAATAAAATTAGTTGAGTTCCAAAGCTGCCTTACCTTCCTTAACTCCAAGCTCAGCAGGAACACACATTCCCTGAAAGATGGCCTCTTTTTCCCCTAATCTTCTGGTGGCGCTGCCCACACCCTGCTGAGGAAGCAAGCTGCCTTCTGGGCACTCAGGCACCACTGCCTGGGCAACTCTCCCTCTGCCCTCGTGCAGCCTCATCCAGAAACATTCATGCAGCAGCTTCCTGGACCTAGAGCCCCAGGGGCTCTTGGCAGCTCAAAGGGCCTCAGGCAGCCAAAGGCCAGGGCCTTTGGTCTCTGGGTCTTCAGCCAACAAGAACACCCACCATGACAAGTATGTGGGTTCCCGACTCAAGAGGTAAGACTTGCCCAAATCTTAGGAAAGTGAAGCACTGAAGAAAGGCTGACCTAGGAGCCTAAGCCTAGGGCTCTGACAGTCATCTCAGGAAAAAGGCTTGGTTTTCATTTCCTAAACCAAGGTCAGTGTGCCTCCTAGGGACACAGGCAGCAGACCTGTCACCCTCCAGGTCCTCCAGCGCAGGTAAGAGGCAGGAGTAGGGCCAGGTGTTGTCCACCCAGCAATAACCATTTCAGCAGCTTGGCAGAGACAAAACAGCTGCAGCCTCCAAAGGCAGCTCCCTCCACAGAGACAAGCCTGAGCTTCCGAAGGCAGGTCTGCCCTCGCAGCTCCACGCCCAGCTGCCTCCCCAGGCTTTCGGCCCTAGGAGCAGCCACGTATCTCAGGGTGTGCTGCCCCAGGCGTGCTGAGCTCTCACCCCTTACATCACAACAGAGGATTCCTAGGGAGTACAAAGAAGGCTCTAAAGAAACCAAAATTTCCAAAAGAGGTTTCTGATGGGAAAAGAATAATGGGATTTGTAGATGTACTTGGTTCTTAGGGAACATCTACTATCATTTCACATATAAGGAATTAGGGGCCAGAAAGAAGGGACTTGCCCAAGGAAGGTCACATGACAAATGACAGCAGACCCAGCATCAAGACCCAGGCCTCCTGACTTCCAGGCAATGGCTCCACATTCAGGAAGGGCCCACCTGTCAGAATCAGGAGAGACAAAAACTCCCTAAAAATAGCACTCCAAACTCAAATGCTTCTTAAATGGAATCACGCAGATTTTATTTTTGTAACCAAGTGAGTACACAAAGGTTCTTTGAAAATATTAAAATCACATACTTTTTAAGGAATGCTGAGGAAATGGTCATATGTTTGCTACTATAAAATGAGATCACAACTCAATCTGCAAAAATACAAAAAAAAAGAGAGAGAGAGAAAAAGGAGTAACATTGCGGGAATGTGGCTTCCCTTCTCAGAAGTCACACAACCTTCCCGCCAGGATCAGATTGGTAATTAGTCACCGCTGACCACAGGAACCAGCAGTAAAGAGCCAGTGGACAGATGCCTCTGTCTGCCCTCTCAGACCCTTCCCTTTGGGCCTCTGAGACAATGAATGGGAAGGCGAAGCAGGGGAGAAGGAGCTGTTGCTCCACTCCCTGAAAAATCCCAAAGTACCACAGATCTTCTGGTCTTCCAACAAGAAGTAAAAGTGAAAAACCTTTTGGAAAGACATTTTCTTCCCATGTTGGGGAGTGGGCTGAAGCGAGGAAAAGTGGGAGTAGGGGACATAAGTTATCTCCAAACAAGAACACTAATAGCTTGGCTTTCAATCCCAGACAGGCAAGCTCAGCTTTGCCAACTGAAGACTTGTCCTACTACTTCAGAGAAATGAGGCTGATAATTTAGGGATTTAAAAAGCTAACTCTGGAGTCAGCATCCTGATATTGCTAGTTACTAATTATATGACCCTGGGCAAATTATTCAACCACTGGCAGACTTACTTTCTAAATCTGATAAGTGGAATTCATATTGTATCCACCTTGAAGGGCTGCCGTGAGAATTAAATGGATTGAGACACAAAAAGTACTTGTTAGGACAGTGCCTGGCACATAGTAAGCCTTCACTTTCAAAAGATGTAAACACCTTCATAGACATATAAGGGATGGTGAGAAGGAGAGTATTAACTCATCCATTCTCTAGTGATCCCCCAGGAAAGGTTAACTGATAAGTGCTGTGTCTAGCTGCAAAGGTGATAGTGGGATTATATACAGCAAAAGGAAAGAAGAAGGAGGTAAAATAAAATGTTAAGTTGTTGAACCAATACCTACTTATGATTGATGAAAGAAATCACAGATTACACAAATAAATGAAAAAACATCCCATACTCATGGATTGGAAGAATCAATATCATTAAAATGACCATACTGCCTGGAGAAATCTACAAATTCAACAAAATTTCTATGAAACTATCAACATAATTCTTTATCGAATTAGAAAAAACAATCCTATATAGATTTATATATATAGTTTATATAGAACCAAAAACGAGCCTGAATAGCCAAAGCCAATCTTAACCAAAAAGAACAAAGCCAGAAGTATCGTATTACCTGACTTCAAATTAGATTACAAGGCTATAGTAACTAAAACAGCATGATACCAGTACAAAAATAGACACAGAAAGAGATCAATGGAACAGAATAGAGAACTCAGAAACAAAGCCACATACCTACAACAAGCTGATCTTCAACAAAGCTGACAAAAATAAACAATGGGGAAAAGACACTCTATTCAATAAATGGTGCTAGGAAAATTGGCTAGCCATATACAGAAGAATGAAACTAGACCTCTATCTCTTACCGTATACAAAAATTAATTGAAGATGGATTAAAGACTTAAATGGAAGACCTAAACTATAAAAGTCCTAGATGAAAACCTATGGAAAACTCTTCTGGAGATTGGCCTAAGCGAAGAATTTATGACTAAAATGCTAACAGCAAATGCAACAAAAACAAAAATAGACAAGAGGGACTTAATTCACCAAAAATCTTCTGCACAGCGTAAGAAATAATCAACAGAGTAAACAGACAACCTACAGAATGGGAGAAAAATATTTGCAAATTATACCTCCAACAAAGGACTAATATTCAGAATTCCAACAACTCAACAAGGAAAAAACAACCCCATTATAAAGCAGGCAAAGGACATACATACAGATATTTCTCAAAACAAGGCTTTCCAGTAGCCAATAAACATATGAAAAAATGTTCAACATCATAATCATCAGAAAAATGAAGATTAAAACCACAATGAGATATCATCTTATACTTGTCAGATGGTGATTATTAAAAAGTCAAAAAAAAAAAAAAACCTGGATGTTAGCATGGTTGCAGAGAAGAGTATGTTTATCACTGTTGTGGGAATATAAATTGATACAACTTCTATGGAAAACAGTATGGGGATTTCTCAAAAAACTCAGAATATAACTGCCATTTGACCCAGCAATCCCGTTATGCAAAGGAAAAGAAATCATTAAAAGACATACAATTGTATGTTTAAAGCAGCACTACTGACAATACCAAGTCATAGAATCAAGCTAAGTATCCACTAATGGTTGATTAAAGAAAATATAGTATGGATACACCATGGAATATTATGCAGCCAAAAAAAAGAGTGAAATCATGTCCTTTGTAGCAACGGGGATACAGCTGGAGGCCATAATCCTAAGTGAGATAACCCTGAAACAGAAAATCAAATACCGCATGTTCTCACTTATAAGTGCAAGCTAAATAATGGATATACATGGACATAAAGATGGGAACCACTGACACTGGGAGGGGTGAGGCTGGGAGGAGGATGAAGGTTGAAAAATTTCCCATTGGGTACAATGGTCACTATTTGTGTGACGGGTACACTAGAAGCCCAAACACTACCATTATCCAACATATCCATGTAACAAACCTGCACATGTACCCTCTGAATCTAAAATAAAACCAAAAATATTTTAAAGACCCACTTGTGGGCAAATCGGAGACAGCCGGGACCCCAAGATTCCCCCCTACCTGCGCCACTGCGGCGGGTGCTCATGTCTGCCACGTATATCCACTCATTGGTCGCTGGGTTGTACTGCTCCACAGTGCTAAGACACTGGCGGGAAGCTCCATCATAACCCCCAACAGCATACAGCTTCCCTGCAACAGACAAAGTGACTGAGTGTGGTGCCAGGGACACTGGCATGAAACCAGAGCTTAGCTGAAACCCCATCTATAACCAACTGGGGCACCCTTACCTCAGAATTCTGGGCCCCCTTTATTCAGGGGACCACCAACTTATTCTTCAACGACACAAAGCATCCTTCACATTTCTTCATATATTCTACTTGCTCTTAGGCCATGAGCCCCTTAGAAGCAAACACTGAACATCTTTCTAAATAAGTACCCCCAAATATCCAACACAAAGCTATGGCTTGGCACCACTGGGGCTCAACATAATCTTGCTGGTGAATTAGGTTAAATTTCCTCTAGAACAAGACACCAGCACCGGATGGATGGAAAGCTAGAAGGTCCCCAGCTATAGGCAGGCAGACCACCTTTCTAGCTAAAGGATCGAAATAGCAGATAAAGTAAATACGGAAAAATATTCTTCAATGAGAACCCAAAACCTGTCTTAACCATTGTATCTACTCTTTCTACAACCCTGGCAGGTAGACTGTGTGAATCGAGAGTTTTCTGTACATTGTGAGCCAGGGTGGCTGGAATTTTTCTGCAGACTACCCTGTGACCTCTGAACAAGAACCCTGAGGTACTATCATCTACTTTTAAATTAAAACACCATTAAGCTGCTATATCCAAGAGCATCATTTCTGCCTGGGGTTGAGGGCTGAGAGTGAGGTTGGACACAGGAGGAAAACTTTGCCATTTGAGCTATCCCAAAGCAGAAATTCAAATATTTGGGGTTTTAAATTTAGTCTTAAAATGTAATGGGATGGTCTCTTCTGTGGGAACAGGGGGAGGAGTCACACTAGCTGTAGACTAAATAAATATTGTTAAATGCTAATCCACTTAACAGGATTACTTACTCAGTAGATTTTTTGGTCATACGTGCTTTCTTAATGGACAGAAACCAAGAATGCAACTGGTATTTGAAAATCTGCAATTATTTTAGGTTAGAAAGATTCTCAGGCTCAAACCTATGCTCTGCTACCAGAACTACTGCTGCACTATCAAATGTAAGAATGTTTTGCTTTTTTTTTTTTTTTTTGAGACAGAGACTTGCTCTGTTCCTCAGGCTGGAGTGCAGTGGTGCGATTTTGGCTCACTGCAACCTCCACCTTCCGGGTTCAAGCAATTCTCTTGCCTCAGCCTTCCAGGTAGCTGGGACTACAGGCACACGCCTCCACGCCCAGCTAATTTTTCTATTTTTAGTAGAGACAGGGTTTCACCATGTTGACCAGGATGGTCTTGATCTCTTGACCTCGTGATCCACCTGCCTGGGCCTCCCAAAGCGCTGGGATTATAGATGTGAGCCATCGTGTCCAGCCCATAAATGTTTTTCTTCTATCATCATCAAGCCTGGCTTTGTTTTCTGCCCCAAGTTCCTCTCAATTGACCCAACTAAAAGAAAGAAACATGTCCTCCTAAGTTCTGCACTCGTCAAGTCAAAAATTTTTTTTTAAACCTGACTAAGCAGCTCTTCTAGGGTCCAGGCTACTTGTAAGGTGTATTCTGGTTCAGATGCGACAATCTCCAAAGCACACTCTCTGCTCTCTTGGGGAGCTTCTGTCTATACTACGATCCACACAGTCCTTTTCCTAAGTAGGTATTCTTCGAGGCAGCCAGTAGCAAATTATTGTGATTTCCTCCACATTTTTTTTTTCAGTGTAATTCAAACTGTATTGCCATGGTAATGAGATGATGAGAGGGAGGAGAGGAAGCCAGACAGTGCAGAGAGCTGTCTCTTCAAGGCCACAGTAAAGCAGACAGAGTCCACTTAAGTTCCTCCCTCCAATTCTCACTACAGCTGTCAATTGGATTCTGCTGCCCCAGGGTGACCCTCAGCCGAAACAGCTTCAGATTCAGGAAGGGCAGAAGAAACAAATCCCCAGCCTGTCTTCTATGTCAGCAGGGCATGCTACAAGACAGCACTTCTTCCAGATACAGAACATGCTCACAAAAGCCTTTGTCAAGAGGAATATTTTAAATTATCACCATTATGGCACCTCCTCTAACCCCTATCAACCATTCCATCTGCATCAGCTGAAAAAATACCCACTCAAGGTTCCTCCTGGAGTCTATTAACAGGGATTTGCTATTTTTAACCCCTACTCTATTGTTTGATATTCCTGGCTAAGGAACAAGAGAAGAAAGGAGAAGGTGGCTAGACAAAGCACTTACACTTGGCAGACAAATCAATTTCTGTTCCACCAAGAGAATGAGATTGCAAGACACAATTTACCTTGGTAGGAAGACAAAATCCTTGCCCTCACAAAGATGACTTATTTAGTATGTTGGAATAGTATACCTTATTTTATTTATTTATTTTTTTTGAGACAGAATTTCCCTCTCGTTGCCCAGGCCAGAGTGCAATGATGTTATCTCAGCTCACTGTAACCTCCACCTCCCAGGTTCAAGCAATTCTCTTGCCTCAGCCTCCCAAGTAGCTGGGATTACAGGCATGTGCCATCATACCAGGTTAATTTTGTATTTTTAGTAGAGATGGGGTTTCTCCATTTTGGTCAGGCTGATCTCAAACTCCCGACCTCAGGTAATCCGCCCACCTCAGCCTCCCAAAGTGCTGGGATTACGGGTGTGAGCCACTGCGCCCGGCCAGAATAGTATACCTTTAAATGAAAACTTAAATTACACAATACCAGTGCAGACTGAGAAATGCAATGAAAGCAAAGAATCTTTCTATGAATGTCTAACTCACCGGATGTTACGCTTTCCCTAGGGTACATTTGTGTTTGCATGTGGATTCTTGAGTGTGTACATGAGAGATGGAATGTCTGCACACATGTCTGAATAAACAGATACTCCATCTAAATTCCCACATCAGTACAGGTTGATGAATCAGTGTTGTCATGCAAATGATAACATTTTAGTTCAAATAATATTGTATGCTTTGGTACACTGAATTCACACATATTTATAGAACTCCTACCTACTGGCATTTGTCAGCACTCTGAAGGAGCATAGCACAGTGAAAAGAGCACCGGCTTAGGAGTCGAAAGACCCCTGGGTTCAAGGACAGGCTATGCTATTTACTATAATCGGAATGTGGGACATCCAGAAGATGGAGGAAATCCGAGTCCTGCCTGTCTCCTTCATAAGGGTTTTGCAAACCAGAGACTAGATGTGAGAGTTTTTTACAAACAAAAGTGTACCATCTGACCAGGCCCTAGACCTCACCACTCCCTCCTGCCTTACCCCACATAGCTTTCCTGACTAGAGCTGGCCTTGATCACCAGCCTGCCCTGCAGAGACAGTCATCAGACCTAAAAAGAGGTGCCTACCTCACTCACAGTTCTGTTAATGTTCAACATATGAATATGAGGACAAAATTAATTAATGCAATTAACTCTCACTCCACTACATTATCCTCCTGGGTTATATGCTGACGATGAATTCCCTACTCCCTGCCCCTCCCCAACCTCTAACAGAGCTACTAACAAGGGGCCAAACCACAGGCTGACATTTCCCCTCTGGGCTCCTTCTACACCCCCAGCCCAGCTCCACCATTTAGCGGCCTTGGGCCAGGAGTTCCACCACCTCTCTGAGTCTCAACTTTCCTCATCTGTTAAATTGGGATAATAGTACCTAACTCAGAGGAGTGATCTCAAGAATAAACCAAGGTAGAGGAAGCACCAAGCACAATACTGGACCCAGGACAAGGCCCATGGGCCAGGTAGGCCTGACCACTGGCCACTGCAACCTCCTTACCCTCCACAACGCCCACACCCACACTGCTCCGCCGCGTGTTCATCGGGGCCACAAAGAACCACTCGTTGGTCTTGTAGCTGTAGGCTTCCACCGATGCTAGGCCTGGGAGACAAGAGACTCATGAGACTTCCGTGGCACCAGGCCTCACCCTGCTGTGTGAGAAGCAGTGAGGATGGGGGAGGAGTCCAAATGCAGGGGCTCGAAACCTAAATGTATGGCTCGGTGCCACCTCTGCATCACCATGCGACCTGTGGAAACTCCCTGAAACACATCGTCAGTGTCTACCTGCGGGGACTATTAAGACTTTTCTCAGAGGGTGGGCTGTGAAAGGACAAGGGGTGTACCTGAAATGCATGGCAAATGTAGACCATAAAAACTGCAGAGTGCAATACTTTGATTCCAAGTAGACACCTGAGGTAGCCTCACTGAACACCTGTTCCAATCCCCTTCACCCCAACTTCCTCTACCTTAGCAGTGGAAAGCTAAACCCCTTGCAGCTAGGGGTGGCCAAGTCAATGAGACCTAAGCAGAAGTCTACGTGGATTTCGGAAATAGGCTTTGCTTCTACCTGGAACACAAAGGTGTTGGCTGGAGCTATAATGGCCATCCTAACAATCATGAGAAAAAGGCCAAGAGAATCTTAAAGAATGTGGCCTCAATGTCCATGAGCCACTGGACCAACTCAGCAACTGCTAACCTCTAGGCTTCTTGTTTCAAGAGTAAAGCAAAACCCTCATGTTTTGAGGCACAGTTTAATCAGGTTCTCTACTAATAGCCAAAAGTAATTCCTAAAAGAAACAATGCTCCATTACTCTTTTGTTCTCTTTGTCCCACTCACTAAAGGCAGCCTCCAGAGGGGCTAAAGACACTGGAATTATATAAGTGAGGCAAAGGGAAGGCTGAGAAAAGTCCCCAAGTTGTGAAGACACAGATAAAACTCAGAGAAGTAAAAAAGACTGCTTTTCACCTCCCTGGGGGCCAAAGTAGATCATATCAGTTTAATAGAGCTACTGTCTGCAGAGACATCTACCTGGCAGTACGAGTAGAGATGAGATCACCTCTCTGAGTTTATGTCCACTATTGCTTTCAGGTTGAAATTTCAAAGCTAGGTAGAATCCAGAGGCAAGGAGACTCACCTATGGTGAAACCCCACTGGAAAAGCTTCAGTGGGGTCATAGAAAGGGCAACAGAAAAAATGGGCAGCCTGGCCCACTGCGTGACCTGAGCCAGGTCTCTTCCAAGTGCCAAACTCAGCTCCCTCACCTGTCCAGCAGAGGGTTCAAACTGGAGGTCTGATGCATGCCCCACCCCCACTCCCAGCTAAGCATGCTCTCCTTCTAAGTCTCATCTTCTGAGTAAATAGGTCCCCAGACACTGGAAAGTAGGAAAAGGACTCTGAGTGTGAGGTCCTAGAAAGCCTAGTACATGGGCGGTTACATATTCTGTGTGGAAGAAGGCCTGGCTCTTCCCCACAAAGCTAGTTGAGGAAGAAGGATGAGTATGTCCCTGGGGCAGTAGCTACAAACAGACAGAAAGTTAGTCCAGAACTGGCTGAATAAAACAGGGTTGCATGGAGGATGTGTCCCAGGCTGGGAGGGGTTGGGAACACACCCTGAACCTACCAGTACTGCCATCAAAGCCTCCCACCGCGTAGAGCAAGTCGTTGAGCACTGCCGCACCCAGCGTGCTCCGGCGCTCCTGCATGCTGGCAATGGACGTCCACTGGTCCTTCACGCCGTCATACACATCCACTGTCCGCACCCGCAGTGAGCCATTAAACCCTCCCACAGCATACACGTGGCCAGCCATGAACACCACACCTGAGGCACAGGAAACCAAGACATCAAGGTCAGGCCAGGCACATGACTGCTCACGTTGATGGATGACAATGAGGAGCAAGACAGACATAGAAAAAGCCACCACAGAAGATACTTTAGATATTTGGCAGTCATTATGGGATTCACTGGATTTCTTTCCTATTCACTTTCAAATTTTGTCTGATTCAAGTGAATACTTGAATTAGCTGTAACTCACCAAGCTCATAAGAACTGACCCCAAAAAAGCCAAAAACTGTGCAGGTGGCCGGGTGTAGTAACTCATGCCTATAATTTCAGTGTTTTGGGAGGCCAAGGCAGGTGGATCACCTGAGATCAGGAATTCAAGACCAGCCTGGCCAACATGGTGAAAACCCTCTCTACTGAAAACAAAAAAATTAGTCAGGTGTGGTGGTGCGCACCTGTAGTCCCAGCTATTCAGGAGGCTAAGGTGAGAGAATCGCTTGAACCCAGGAACCAGAGGTTGCAGTGAGCTGAGATCATGACACTGCACTCCAACCTGGGCAACAGAGAAAAACTCTGTCTGAAAAAAGTAAAAAAATAAGAAAGAAATA